TTATGAATGGAAGGATTGATGAATGATTGGTGATGGATGGATGATGGGTGATGGATGGATGATGGGTGAATATATGATGGATACCTTTGAGTTGTTTTTTTTAGGTCTTGTGGACATCTCTCAGTTGGCCTCTGTAGACCCAGTTCAGGTTCTGACCGCTGAACCAGGGTTTATTTGGCCCCTGTAATAATAATAATAATAATAATAATAATAACAATTTATTCAATTTGTACTGCACTTTACATTTTACAATCTCAAAGTGCTACAAAAACATCTAGAGAGAATAAAACATGGACTAAACAATTGACTAAAAATTCAACTAAAACAGCAGAGTTAAAAATACCTTTAAACACTATTAAACCTTCCAAATAAAAAGGTCTTCAGTCCTTTCTTAAAGCTTTCTGTAGTCTGGGGTATCCTTAGATGGTCGGGGAGGTTGTTCCACAGACGAGGAGCAGCAGAGCAAAAGGCTCCACCACCCATGGTGCACAGTTTTGTCCGGGGAGGGCGGAGCTGGTAGGAATTTGTGGAGTGGAGGGACCGTGTTGATGTCTGAGCAGGGAGAAGGTCTTTAAGATAGTGTGGAGCATTGCCGTGAATGGATTGGTGGGTGAGAAGGAAACCTTGTATTCATTGTGGAGTGAATTGGGAAGCCAGTGGAAGGATTTAAGGATTGGGGTGATGTGATCATGTTTCCTTTGCTTCATCAGAATCCTGGCTGCACTGTTCTGTACATTCTGAAGTTTTTGAATGTGCTTGGATAGAATTCCATTAAAAAGTGCAATTGCAGTAGTCCAATCTTGAGGAGAAGAAAGCATGGACAAGTTTTTTAGCATCGAACAAGAATAGTAATGGCCGTAATTTGGAGATGTTTTTGCATGAAGGTATGAAGTCTTGCAAAGGTTTTTTAATATGGGATTCAAATGAGAATCAAATCTTACATGACGATTAGTCACTGTATCAGCAAAGGGAATGTTTAGGCCAGATAAAATTATGGTATAGATGTTGAGTGAGTGGGGTACCAAACAAAATAGCTTCTGTTTTTGACGTGTTTAATTGGAGAAAGTTGACGTTCATCCAGGTTTTTACCTCCTCAAGAGAGGAAAGTGATGAACTTGTAAAATCTATTTTGATATAGAGCTGCAAGTCAATGCATAACAATGAAAAGAGATCCTGTGGTGAGTGATAATGTGACCGAGGGAGAGGATGTAGAGGGTAAATAATGTGGGCCCAAAGACTGACCCTTGAGGGACACCACCACGTTATGAGTTCAGGATCTTGCATCCTCGATGGAGACGTACTCGGATCTGTCAGAGAGGTAAGAACCATTCCAGAGTTGTCTCAGTCAATCCTGCAGTGCGTTGTATGTAGTGAAGGATGCCATGATCCACAGTATCAAAAGCTGAGCTCAAGTCCAGGAGGATCAGAAGGGAGGGAGAACCAGCAGATCCAGTTTAGGTTCTGACAGGCTGAACCAGGTCTCACTTGGCCCCTGTAGACCCAGTTCAGGTTCTGACAGGCTGAATGAGATGCAGGAACGCTGCCAGCAGGGTTCCTTTCAGTTGATTGGAAGGAATATTTTACCTTCTTCCTGTTCATTGATCAGTGTTTGCTCCAGTCCCTTCAGGCCGTCTGGCGGTTCTGGCAGACCGATCCAATCCAATCTGAACTAATGTGCTGAGGCAAGCCAGACCTGCAAGATCAATCTGAGAAAGTCCTGCCTTCAGGATTCAAGACAAGAAGTAATTTGTAGAGTCATGGTTGCAGATAAAGTCTGCGTCATTAATGAGTAGAAACGAAGATTCTACAGGGTTCTGACATGGACCTCATGGTTCTGTTCGGTAATCTGATTACTCTAAATGTCTCATCAGGTTGTAGAAAATTGTTTTTTTCTGCTTTAGTTCTTTTCAGGTTGGAGATAACCACTCTGAAACTGTCAGGCAGATCATGTGATTCTGGTTCGGTGGGACGGCCCCTGTGTAAAAACTCTGTTCGGTTTTTACCAGGACCTGTTTCCTGATTACGTCCCTGTAATCCTGCAGGAGTACTCCTCTGGGATTACAGATGTTTCCCAGCACCATTTCCTGCTCTGACTGCAAGTCTCTGATGGAGGGATTAAGGTCAGCTGCTCCAGATCACATGCACTTATGAAGGGGGAGGAGTCTGAGTGACAGCACACGTTGACCTTTGACCTTTCCAGAATCAAATCTGATATGGATGTTTGGATGCTGATGCTTCAGCTGCAGTGAGACCGAAGAACGGAATAAAATGTGGCGGGGTCTTCTTCACCTGTGCACATTTTCTATAAAGTGCCTAAAGGGCCAGTTTGGTCATTTTTAAGGGGAGTTCTGTCTAAAAGTTGACATCAATCGAAGAGCAACGAGGATGGAAAAAGAGGCAAAAGTCTTCATCCAGGCTAGGCTAACAGCTAGCCAAATGAGGGCCTGACTTTTATTGTTTTTTACGTTTATTAAACAACTCTTTCTGAAGTGTAAAAGATCAGCTGATATTAAACCTCCACACTTCTACACACGCAGTCCGTGTTATTGCGCTAATGTACTTGTGCTGAGTGACGTTACGTTGCTGAAAGCTAAAACAACACATGAGCAGCTAAAAGCTACGTTTAGCAGAACAATGGCTAAAAGCTGAAATTAGCAAGCAGTAGCGAGAAACTATTAAGTAGATTTAAGTTTTTCAAGGATTTCATGAGTTCATTTGTTTAAACGAAAAAAAAAGAAAATATTTCTAAAAGAACAAAAAGTTACAAAGACTAAAAGTCACATCTTTAATGTCTTGAATGAGCTAAACGCTTGGGTATGTCAATGTTAATCTACTGCATATAAACTATTAAATGAAATGTGAAAAGTTTCTCCTGAACTTAATCCAGTGGTGCAGTTTAAAACGTTTACACCAGCTGTTTCCAGATTTACCAATGTGCTATTCTAAAATGTGGGAATGCACTCAATGTAAACAAAGTACTTCACCTGCATTCTTTACTCAGCAAATGTGAAAAAACAAAAACACATCAAACTCATCCCAAACAGCTGTTCCATGAACACCACAATTGTTGACTTTGTTTTCAGTCATGTCGGCTGCTTCTGTAGGTAAACAAACACACTTCAGCTGCTTCTGTAGGTAAACAAACACACTTCAGCTGCTTCTGTAGGTAAACAAACACACTTCAGCTGCTTCTGTAGGTAAACAAACGCACTTCAGCTGCTTCTGTAGGTAAACAAATGCACTTCAGCTGCTTCTGT